CCAGGGGTGTAGGGCACCAGGAGGCAGGGGAGGAATCCGGGGCAGGTGTGCAGGTTGCAGTGGCGGTGCAGGAGGGGGAGTTTCTGTGCCAGTGCTCATGTGGAGGTTTTCTCGTGCCGGTGCTCATGTGGAGGTTCTCCCATGCTGGTGCTCGTGAAGAGTGAGGACTTGACTCGTGTTGCCATGCGGTGAAAGGCTGGTGTGAAGGGCGGATGGCTGGACGCTGGGGCCTGCAGAGAGGATGCTGGAGAACAGAAAAGAGAAATTCACAACTACAACGAGACAGAGAACCTCTGGCGGTCGGGCTGGAGGCTGGTGGCAAAACCCATCAGGAGGCTGGAGACGGGGTCCCTCGGAAGGCCGGACTGGAGCCCAGAAATAACGGAGGCGGGATCCTTCTGGAGGCCGGACTGGGAGCTGGCAAAGGTAGAGGCGGGATCCCTCTAGAGGCCAGACTGGAACCCGGAGACAACGGAGGTGGAATCCCTCTGGAGGCTGGACCGGGAGCCGGCAAAGGTTGAGGCGGGATCCCTCTGGAGGTCAACGACGAAAAAGGTGGAGGTCCTCTGGAGGCTGGACTCGGGCCTGGAGCTGGCAAATGCGGATCCCCTGTGAAGCCCGGACTCGGGCCTGGAGCCGGCGAAGGCAGGGGCGGAATCCCTCTGGAGGTCGACGATGAAAGAGGCGGGATCCCTCTCGAGGTTGATAACGAAAGAGGCGGACGTCCTCTGGAGGCCAGACTTGGGCCACGAGCCGGCGAAGGCGGAGCCCCTCTGGAGGCCGGACTTGGGCCTGGGGCCAGCGAAGGCGGATCCCCTCTAGAGGTCGGACTCGGGCCGGGAGCCGGCGAAGGCAGATCCCCACTGAAGCAGGCCAAGGCTCAGGAGCATGAGAGGCTGGGGCAGTCTCTCTGCCAGCGGGATTGTCATCCCACTCTGGCAGGTCCCAGCACTGGCTGGCAACCGGCTTGGTGGCAGCGGCGAACCACCCAGGGATGGCCAGGGTGCAGTATCCGTGTGGTGGGACCTCAGCGAAGCTTGGCAGCGGGACCTCAGCGGCGCTGGGGAGCGGCGAGGTCCGGGTGCTGGGGAGCGGCGAGGTCTGGGCACTGGGGAGCGGTGGGAACTCTGCGACGCTCGGCGGCGGGACCTCCACGATGCTGGGGAGTGGCGAAGTCTGGGCGTTGGGGAGCGGCGAGGTCCGGTGTCGCCAGGATCCACATCTCTTCTCCGGGGCAGTGGACTGAGAGCCACGTGTGTGGCACAAGACGCTGGGGAGCGGCGAGACCTCCGCGACACTCGGCAGTGGAACCTCCACGACGCTGGGGAGTGGCGAGGTCCAATGTCACCGGGAGCCACGTCTCTTCTCCAGGGCCGCAGACTGTAAGCACTGCGTGTGGCACAAGACGCTCTAACTGGAGATAGTTGAAGTTCCCCAATCCAGGTGGGGATTGTGTTGTTGCAGCCAGGGGGAACCCAACACTACAGGGGCTAAGGGTGAAGAGATGACATAGAGATGGATGCTCTCCCAATGGTTCGCCGAGGTGATCAGTGACAGAGGGGTAGTGCGGTGAGTGGCTCTGGCTACTAGTCTGTCATTTAATGCACAAATTATG